CAAGATGTGTGTGATTGCACACCATGGTTTACTTTGATACGTTGATCATTACATGCTACCGCACCTCTGTTGCCGATACTAAGAGATCACTAGCTTTTTCTCCAAAATGGAACATGGTGTGTGCGCACTATGTTTTCCCAATTCACGCGTTTCTAAAAATCGCGTGATAGTAAAAGTAGAATAAGACACTTAAGAAAGCGTTGATCTCTTCTTGAAATATCTACACGAAAATCAAGCGAGAACTGGTCCCCACACACCTGTCCCATTTTTCATAGTTATCGCTATTTAACTTTCTCAGAGCTAGTCTTAAGACAACTATTTCTTCGCAGGACAATCAGCATCTGCTTCCGAAGACGAAGTGAAGGAGTTTCTTGGCAAAGTGTTTCAAGCGAGTAACAAGGAGAACATCAACAAGGTTTTTACGAGTTAGTTCTTTTTCCCTTTTTCAAACCAGAAATTATTTTCAAGTAGTCAAAAAACTTACCTCAGAAGACATGAGACACTAGACGAGCGCACTAAGAACTTCAGAGTTAAATGTAATTTGATTCGTAGGAATCAGTCTGTAGGAAAACTCCTCACGATTACAGTTCATAGGTTCATGTTGTTCAAGTTATCAGCAAAATTTCAGTTCAAACAAAAAATGATGAGCTAATTCTCGAATCAATGGATGCAAAAGCTGCAACGAACGCTGATGGAACCCCTGCGAATACTGTGCAAATTGTGGTAGGAAGCACTGGCGAGCAACGTGAGATTACCAACAAATCCCGATCTCAAATGGGCCATCAGTTCTCTAATCAAAGACTGGTGAAAAGAGATTCTCCATCTGCAAATTTTTAGCGATGAATCAATAATTTTTTCAAGATGATAATTGATCAAAGGTCATGAGATTGATCAAAGCAGTGTCAAGCTATTCCTTCACCATTAACCCTCAACAAATTACTATCTGTAATCTATCACTGCCTTTGCGACCTAACTTCAAAGTCGTTTTGTAGACGTCTAGCAATAGAAGACAGTTTGAATTGTTCTGTCCCATTTCTAAACAGTGAACAAAACTTCTCAAACAGCAAAAAAAACTAAAAATCATCTTTTCAGCCGCTATACACACAATATCGAGTGGTCCTGGCACTGTTGAAGTGAAGTCCAAAGCTGGATGGTGATAAAGCACTTTCATATCATGAAGACATATTGTATGCAAACATACTAAAGTTTATT